TGGCTTTGCTATTCTAGGTTTTCTGTGTTTCACTATATGTAAAGCATAAAAATTATTTGATCTTATCTGATCATTCCTTTCCATTTTATTTCCATGCCCACCAGGGAACATCTTGTCTCTTCTGCAATCAGTGAAGACCTGATAAGGCCAAGGACAGACAGGCTGGCAACACACTTTCACCAGTGAAAATACCAAAGCTGGTTGTAATAATAAAGTATTAGGGAAAGGAGTGACAGGAGAATTACATGCACTAAAAAATAAAAATAAATTAAGAAAAAAAAAAAAGAAAAAGAAGGGGCAGGAAAAAAAAAGCTTCAAATTTGGTGAACTTGGAACTCAAAGAAACACATTAGCAAAGGACAAATCCATCCCTCTGTGGCAATTTTCCTGTAGGGGATCCGGCCCGCAGTAAGCTATGGGAGTGAGTATTTTGCAAACTGAGTGAGCAGTGTGTACTCACATTCAGAAGAACAGCACAGCCAAGAGAGATCCATTTCAGGTTACCTTTCTTCATTTTTACTGCAGAACTGACTGAAGACTGAAAAAAATAAAAGGCTCAGACAAGTTAGACTAGAAAAGGTGCTATTACTAAAAGGAATTTCTCAAAAAAAAAAGCAGTTGCACAAGCACGCACATGAAAAGATAGGTTGGTTCAGAGTTACTCATCACCTAAACAGCTTAATTAGGGTCAAGTCAGGTTGATCAGATTGATTTTGCCTATCTTTGGAAGTCTGATTCACTTTAGCAACTATGAAGGTCAACATTCACCTCTCTGATATGTAACAAAATTAGGAAAGAATGGGGGAGGTAAGGAAGGATGGTTTAATGCAAAAGATGGCAAAATAAATTCAGCATGTCTCCTCTTCATTCAGAGCAGCAACAGCCATGTTGAGCAGCACTTGAAAAGTGGCATTTTCACTCAGAAGTCTGGGGAAAGAAAACAAGAACAGATGAGATTGTATACTTACAGTTCTCTCCAGTATTTTCATGACATTTATGGGAATGGTGAGCTCTTTCCGTGCTTTGTTTTAGGAAGCCGATGCTGTGATATTGTGTATTACTATTGTCCTCGGACTTTTACTGGGGAGATTCTTGTGAGTGTCAGGCTAATTGGATCTGCAGCTGCATTCAGCAGCCAAGAAGATGTAGCCCAGGGCACCATTCAAATAGCAGATGGCTCCGCACTACCTGCCTAATGGAGAGTGCAAAACATGTTGGAGGTCTCAGAAAGGATTGTTTAACCTATAACTACAGTACTTAGGATTTAATTTCCCTCTATCTAAGGTCTGTTTATTATTTGGATAATGTCTTCTTTTACAGTGATAGGATCAGCAGTTTTTATTCTGCCAAAGTTGGCACAACAGTAAGCTTTCCTTGTTAACGTGAAAACCACATAAGTTTAAAAGGCTGAACAGTGAAAAATAGAATGGCAAGGCAAGTACAGGTGGAGTACTAGTTGCCCTTAAAATGTCCCCCTCATTTTAGGGGTCATTTAGGACAAGCTCAGAAGACTCCAGGCTAGCAATTTCCATTACCAAGAGCATTTCCCAATTTTTAAAGCCTATCGTTACAATAATTACGGCTAGCAAAAGTAGTCATATAATATGTGTATATATGTAATAAAGTTTACATTTATATAAAGACATAGGCTTTTTGGGAAAAAAAATAACATTGTTTATACTTCTTAAACACAGGTCAGAAGCCTCACCTGCAGTAAGGTAACAATTGTCTATGCCAGTACAAAAGCTAGCTCAAGAAAATACTGACTCAAGGGTAGTAATTTTGCCCTGCAATAACAGAAACAAACAAGTAGAAGAGATAATTTGGTATTTTTTTTATGGCAGTGCATTGAATTGCTAGCAACTTGTGAATTCAGATTATTGATCATTATCTTCTTAAAAATTCACCGTTTTTTCAAGTCAGCAGGGAGTAATAGGAAATGCTTACGTTAATGTCTTCTAGTCATAAAATACCCATGAGGAATAGAGTCCTGTAGATATTTTCAGAGATATTTTCAGAGAGTTTTCTGTTTACTAGCCCTGAAGATGCATAGCTCTCTTGCTGCTTGCTTTCCTAGAGAAGATGGCAATGTGGGCACCCCGTGTACATCTTCTGGCATCCTGTGATACCTGCAGTGATTTGCGGGCACAGGCCAAGGCGAACACGGGCAGCTGGCGTGTACAGCAGCCGCAGAAAGCAGTGCCGAGCAGGGAGAGCACGACGCTGGCGCCGGCGGGCGCAGGGGCAGGGCCAGGGCCACGGTTTGCCCACGCCGCCCCGCGATCGGGGCGCCGCACTGCAGCGCGGCCACGCGAGCAGCTCGCCCAGCCTCGCGCTCTGCAGGAGGTTATTTCACGGAGAAACGTTTGGGGGTTACTGCACTTGCTTTTTCCAAAGCAACTTTTTGTCATCAGAAGACTTCCGAAGTCTGATCACACCCAAAGAGCGTTAGAAAGGTCTACGTGTAAATTCCAGGAACTTTATGTTATTGAGATTTTCCTGTTCGTGCCTAGCTGGTTTTGCATTTACCCCACATAGCGTCCTGCCAAGGTTGCTGCCCGTAGCACAGCTGACAGTTGTTGCCACATATGAGATATTAGCCTCTGGGACTTGACTTACTACGAGAACTGGGACAGCTGCACGTTCAGCTTAGCTCACATCTCCCTGCCTTTCTTATCACAGGATTTGTGTATTCTAAACTGATAAAACAGCTGCAGTTCTTTTGATATTCTTCACACATCCTGTGGGTGGGAAAGGATGCAAAAGGATGCACGCCTTTCCAAAGACTCTGTTCGTTCCTGATGCTGGTTTCTGGATCCCCCAACTTGGTCCGCATCTTGATGCTAACCCAGGCCACACTGTAGCAGCAAAAGCCTTGCCAGTGTTGTAGAGAGCAAAAGGATCCCTTCACCTGCAGCCTGTGAGGCTTCTCCTTCTCATGGGTACCAGTGTTCATTTTACCAGGAAAAAAACAACAAAAAACCAAAAACATAGAATTCCCTCCTTTTTTTTTTTTTTTCCCTCAAAACATCTACCTAGCTAGTTATTTCTCATCTAGGCATGCACTTGGCTAGTAGTACATTTGTAGTACATTTCCCCACTTTGCTTTTTAGCAGGTTTTTAACTTTACTAGTAGTTCTTCAGTACACGGGCACTTTCCTCCCCGTTTGCCTCACTAGTTGCAGGGACCCTCTTTGGTTCTCCAGCACGGTGATGAAAAATTGAAAAACAAAACCTTTAAGCCAGAAGAGGCTTCAAATAGCACTGCAGTGAGAAGCTTGCATGTTTTGCTCATTTCCACATTTTGAAAACCCCCTTGCTCCTCTGATAGAACAAACAAAAGGGTTTTGATTTTTTTTTCCCCAGAGCTCCATTTTTAATTTGTCATGACTGCACAGTTAGCTCCAGACTAACAAGAGAGGCAGCTTTTTTCTTTCTGTAGATGACAATAAAAAAAGACATTGCTTTGAAATCCCAAATTCCAGCTTGACATGTCTCTTACCTCCCTGAACTATACAATAAAAAACATCTCCCTGTAGAATTGCTACAGTGACCTCAGGGAAAGTCCTACGTGTGGCCATGGGGATAGTGTTTCCAAGAGGCACCTGAGGAGATTCAACCCAACATTCCTTTGCGTCTAACGGTGTGGGGGAGGCTGAGAGCACCTTCAGATGCTTCTCCAGCCCCTGCTTTCTTGACCGGCAGAAGCAAACCAAACTGAACTGCACACAGCCAACCTCCACGCAGCAGCCTGGGAGGAAGGCTACAAAGGCACAGATTTTACTGAGGAAGATACAACGCGATAGGGGATGCACAGCTAGCAATAGCTCTCTGTCACAGATATTCTTCTGCAGCAGTTGCAATAGTCAAGCCAACAGTAAAGTAAGTAGATGCATTCAGGTGGCTAATGGTGAGTGAGCTTACAAATGACTCCCACCACACTACCCACCAGCTTAAAGATGGTGTTTCCTAGAAGCAGATTTACACAGTGGGCATTTTCACTAACCTCCTTATCTCGCTCAGAGTAAGGGCTGTGATAGTTGCACAGAGTTGCTAGTAGGTACCCTTGGCAAATTCTGGGCCACAACTGATTCCTGTTTATTCATTTATTAACACATTGACTGATGTCCAGTTTGTCATTCAATATTGTGAAGCAATAGTCTAAATCTCAGCCTGCAGCTTTTGTCTTGTTTTCTGAGAGAGGGCTTAAAAAAGATTGAAAGGTACCTGCTTTTCAGTTTGCAAAAATCTTGGCTGTCAATAGTAGCTTTCTCAAAGTTATAACAAAAGTGCTAACAACTGTAAATATCCCTGTAAGTCAGAAAAGGAAAAATATTGTCCCCCTCTTCTATTTCCTACTTGTTCTAAAATGCTCTGGGGTTAATCTTCTTTTGTGTCCCATGCTGAAGAAATGATTGCTTTCCTCACCGTAATAACTACAAATAATCCAGCTTTGGCCCTCTAAAACAGGAGGGAAAATGCCGGAAGATTACTAGCACTTAAAGATGATGAACATACATATGTTGGTTTTGTGGGCAAAAAATAAATACATTAATATGAACACTTCTCCAAGTACTCAGAACTGCTCATTCCCTGTAGGAAATACAAGACTCCATTAAGCTGTACCAGACAAAAGACAACAGGTGAAAAATTCCAATAGGTGAAGGTATCAGGTCTGACTGAATATGATGATTTATGTCTTCAATTTGTATTCTTCATTTCAGGGCAGGTTTAGCCTAATTCCCATCATTATTTTGAGATGACCTTCCTCACTAAAGACAGAAGATGAAATTATTATATAATAAAGGTATTGCTTTTTGGCAAGGACTCAGGGCATTTAACTCACTTTGAAGTATTAACATAAACCACATATGAAATAAAAGAGGCTCCTACCAGTAAACATAATTGTTTTGTACATCTATCAGTTCAATAAATGTTTAATCAAAGTAAAATGTACTGTAATTTGGAACACATCTGACACAATCCAGACTACCACAAAGCAATGTAAAAACTGCTTTATTAATTGCAGTTAACATGTTTCAATTCAATAGTGATTCCAAACATTAAGTCAGCTGCTTATAAGACATATAAGCCATGACCACATTCACATGGAACTGGACGAAGAGATGATAGTCACCAGGGCATCTTGAACTGGAATCATTTCTGCTTCTTGGGCATGGAAGCTACAGTCAGTGCATAAAGGACATAGCCTGTTCCTGAAGTAGGAGACAGAGAAGATGCTTTCAGAATGGCAAACACAGTTTGTTTCCAGTCAACATTCATTTCCCAGACTGTCACTGAGGAAATACTGATAATAAGCAGCTGTAATTCAGACACAACATATTTCCACGGCCATGGCTCAAAAGATAACTAGCAACATAGGCTAGAGGCAATGACAAACCCACATAACAAGCAACGTAACAGTTAAACATAAACAACATAACAAATTTGGATATATTCTGCTACATGGCACAGTTTCAAAGCCTCAGCAATGCAAGTTTCACTTAGCATTAACAAGAATCAGGCTGGTGGTGCATAGGAGCCATCATTACATTTCACTCCTTTTCAGAATAAACTTTTGAAGTAGTTCTAACTTTGTCTAACATGAAAACATGAATACATAAATTCTAAAGCTGCCAGCAGTGATGGTAAAATTCGCCAGGAAAAGAAAGACTTCAGATGTAAAGTTAAATAATAAATAGGAAAGGTCAGAATGTCCAAAGTCCCTTCTTTCTGTCCACAAAAAGGATTTTTCATGCTCTAAGGAACAGACTGAAGGAGCTGCACTTACACAGGAAATGTACTGAAGAGTAAATATTTTAATATTAGCATGTTAGAGACCGCAGCAAACAGTAAATATTTTAGTATTAGTCTTACCAATAACTGCAATACCCATGGTGATTTTATACAATAAAGAATCCATTAACCCGCCTTTAAGATGCACTGGAATGCCATTATCCTCCTAATGGAAACAAGGGAGAATAAAAACATACTATTTAAGTGCAGTTCTTGCCATACAGACTGGACTTACGTAACAAAAGCTAAGCAGAACAAGAATTACTAAATCTTCCCTCCTCCCAAAAGATTTTGGAATTCTCGCAAACCTCATCTGAGGTTCAGCCTTGCCTCTCAGGTTTTCACTCCAGCAGAGGTGGAAGTGCAGTACGGATACTGCAAACTAAAGCGTGGAAGATGCTTCGGCATTGCAGCTTCTGGAAACTGTTTGACCCCCACTGAAGGCAGATCCCTGCGATCTCTGCCCCTGCCAGCACGTGCAGGTTGCCCTGAACTGCGAGTCTGCACCCAGGCTGCTGCTCTGCATCCTGACCCGGCTTAACCGGCGATCCCTCAGGAAAGGAACCGCAGGGAGCTGATTCAATGACTTGTTAACAAAGACATGAAGCAAGCTCCTAGCAGCCCACCTTTTCTGACCAAACAAAACAGACAATTATGTTCTACCAAGCCTTATTCTTGTATTAACAGTCCACTATCAGCATTCACTTAATACCTGGAAAAACTTCTGCTTCTCAGCAATTCTGTTTTCAACCTGCCTGCGTGAAGCAGTGCTTATGGTCCTCCGGGAAATCCGGGCAAGAGCCTAAACAAAAGATAATAAAATTACTGGTTTTGAAACACTACTTGAGATACAGCCACCTCAAAAAGAGCCAGTTTCTTTTAAAAACAAAAAAGACAGCAAAGCAAGAACGGAGATTCTTTTAAAAAGACTTCTCAAATCAATCTTCCAACACACATAAGAAACTGATGGGTTGGTTATGCAAAACAAAACAAATGCACATCCTTAACAGAGCTACAAAAACAAAATAAAATAAAACAAAACAAAATAAAACAAAACAAAATAAAATAAAATACATTCTGCGGTGACTTAAGCTAGAATCTGTTTCCTCAGTCGGATCACATAAGTACCCTCTATGGCAGAATAAGCTGCCAAAAATCCCAAGGCCCCTACTGTATAATTCCTCCAAGGTCTAAAAGCCTGGTTTCATTAATGGGTCGAATCTCAAAATGTAGAACCAACTGTACCTCTAAGCCCTTAAAATCTCATCCAAGGATATTTGTGCCTGCCCCCTCCCCAATATACATACACACATATACATATATATAAAACACCTAGCTCTCTCTCTATATCTAGTTATATATTTTATATACATATACACACATATATGTATACACATATATACATATACATACACACACGTATATATATATGTAACTACCAGTAAAACCTAGCTACTGGAAGGTTGCAAATAGCGGAACAAGGCACTGCCTCCCCGCACTTCCGCCCTCCGCCAGCGAACACGCTCTACAACCCCTCCCTTTACACCTAATGACACAAACGCACGTTACAGCAACAGCCTCGACACAGGGATAACCCCCCGCCCCGGTCACCGCCCGCACCCAAAGGCGCTGAACGGCGGCGACAGCGCCCGGCGGGCACCCGGGGCCGTGAGCACCCCCTCCCCGCCGGAGGCTGGCAGACACAGCGGCGCACGGACAGACCCACGGACAGACACACACACACGGACAGACCCACGGCCGCGGGGCGCCCCGGCCCCCCGCGCACCTGCAGGTTCCGCCACATTTCGCCTCTTGGTCCCGTCACCTCCCGCCGGCTCCAAGGGCACCGGAAGCGGAAACAACCCTCCCCGCACCGCCCCCTCCCGCTGCCAGCAGCGGCGCCGCGCGCGACGGGGAAGATGGCGGCGGCCGCGCAGGGGCGTTTCGCCTTTGCGCCCCCGCCCCGATAAAGGGCTTTGGCTTTTTCCGCCCACCTTTCCCTAAGAAAGGGGAAACAGGTATCACAGCTACCAGTCTTAGCTGAGGGGATATTAAAAACAGCATTTAGAAAGCACAACCAAAGGGAAAAACAAGGTGCTCCAACAAAGGAGACACAGGAACGTGTGGTTTAAGAAATGCTTTACAAGCAGTCAAACAGTGCTATTAGATAAAAACACAAAACACACCCAGGAAAACACTCCTCCAGGAAAAGTTTTCCATTCGTTACTCTTCCATGTTTTCAGCTCCTGATGAAATGATGACTTGCAACCTCATGGTGAGAATATTTCAACTTAAATGCAAAAAACACTGCTCCTGTTCCAAACAGGCTGCGGCAACTTTCACATGTATTTTATTGAAAAGCAATGAAGTTGGCTAATCAAAAATCTAGTTGTTGAACAGTTTTGACTAAGCCAGAATAGAAACTGTAACCCGTCTCTCCCTCTTAAAGTTGGTGCTTGGTTCCAAGCACATTTGTTAGCGGAGAGAATTGGGAACCATAGAATCATAGAATCATAGAATGCTTAAGGTTAGAAGGGACCTCTAGAGATCATCTAGTCCAACCCCCCTGCACACGCAGGGTCACCTAGAGCACGTGGCACAGGACTGCGTCCAAGTGGGTTTTGAAGATCTCCAGAGAAGGAGACTTCACAACCTCTCTGGGCAGCCTGCTCCAGTGCTCTGTCACCCTCACTGTTAAGAAATTTTTCCTTAAGTTCCTATGGAACTTTTGGTGCTTCAGTTTGTGGCCATTACCTCTAGTTCTGTCGGTGGCCACCACTGAATAGAGACCAGTACCATCCTCCTCACTGCCTCCCTTGAGGTACTTATAGACACTGATCAGGTCCCCTCTCAGCCTTCTCTTCTCCAGGCTGAACAGGCCCAGCTCCCTCAGCCTCTCCTCATAGGGCAAGAACCATCTTAAGTCTCAGGTAGAATTCAAGTCCTTTAAGTACTTTCTGACCCTTCTGAAAACCTACAGTGGAATATTTTTTTTTCCACTGTGGAAAAAACACAGTGGAAAATAATTATTTTTTCCTCAGAAGCAACAAGCTTCCTCACTAGAAACATTTCTTACAAAACTGGAAGATAATAACAAGAGTTTGTCCCAAACTACACAAGTATCTGTGAGGCTCATACTAAAGCACACAAAGCATACACTGACTTCAACTGCCCAGCTCTCAACCTCACTGGGCAAGCCTGTGAGCAATCACATTTTCATTTCTTCCAAGATTGCCATCTTTTCTCTTTTCATAGCAATTAATCAGGTCATTAATTACATTCCTAGCTCTGCAACAGTCTTGGGGGAGAAAAAAAAAAATGTTTTTTTTTTTTCAATGTTTCCAATGACACAATCCACAGCTCGGGTGAAATTCAATTAAGTTTGTACATAACTCCACTATTTGGTTTGATTGATTCTTTCAGGCCACCTCATCTGAAATTATAGCCCAGCAGTAAAGAACTTCACCCACTTTGCTTCAAATCAATTAAAACATTTTTTTTAATCTTCCTGAGCCATCAATAATTATTGACTCGTGTGTTCATATCTACAATTTTATTCCCAAAAGGAAATGAAGTAGATCATTTTTGTCAGCAATCTCAGACTTAGGAGTAGCTGCTGGCATAAACCTCAAATGCTGGGTAAGAGTAACCTACAGGACTGCTTTATTCCGAAGCACAGTTGGAGTGTAATTGAAGCGAAAGGCTCAGAAGGTGGCTTGTGATTTGTGACGGAGATTACATATGGATAGTAGTTCTTAACAGGCCGTATCTTACTTGACTTCTGTCCAAATAAAACCTGCCAAGTAAGGTTATACTTCACATTTTGGCATAAGTGGAATTAAGTTGACTGGAGAAAAATTTAATATTGAAAACAAAACAACCTGCATATTTTGCAACCATGTCAGGATCATGGCACTGAAACAGGCTTTCTACCTTGGTATACCTTTTCACAGTGTTAGAAGCAGTAGGATGTGAGCCGTACATAAGCTAATCGTGCTGCTGCTGAAGAGAGCCAGGAAAGAAGCTGTCTTTTTTTTAGTTTGTGTTCTTCCAAATTCAAGAATGAGAATTTCCAGGTCAACAGGCTGGTCAACACAAACAGTCCTAGATAACCATTTCTATGCTCTTAAAGTGCTCTTAAATCTGTCAATTTATTTCACTTCATTTCCCACCTGTCTTCAAATGCACTTTTTTTTTTTTTTTTAAAAACCCTTACTGATAGGGTCAATGCACAAGGCAAAACCCGGTGGCATTGATTTTTCAATCAAGATTATCAGAGATCATATTCTTGTTATTGAATTTTTAAAGCTTATTTGCAGTATCTCTAGATTACTGTGCAGATACTTGTTCTTTGCCTTCAGTGGCTGTGGCATTACAATTATTATATATATATTTTAAAGAACCTATATAAAATCTGCGTTAGACGTAATCACACCTTTCCCCTAAATGCTCCTTTCAGCTGAATTTTGGGCTCTAGCGTGTCCACACACACTGTAACCCTCATCTTCCCACTGACAGCAGGGGAGAGAGGAAGG